CATCAATGATTTTTTTCTTTTGTTTTGGTAGACTGGTAGATACAACAAACCATGAGCAGAGTAAAAAAGATCAGCATCCTCTGAACCGACAAGTGTATTCTAGAAAAATGTGAAATTTGTGGCTGGTTTATATTGAATCCCCTAACGAAATGAAAGATCTACAGACAACAATCAACAAGTTCAGAGAAGAGTTCAGACTGACATATAAGAGACACAAGTGATGAAGATATTTAACCAACAACAATGACGAACATCAATCATCATTAGTGAAAAATTATTTAGTGGAAGTCGTCTCTATCACTTTTTAATGTCAGAACAGGAAAACAAAACACAATAAAACAATTTTGAAATCTAATACCTGGAATGCGATTCACTTCCGCCAAATTTAAGATGGTGTTACAGGACTGAACTGCTCTGACTCCTAGTTTAGAAATAGGGAGTGAAGTGGTAGAACACGTTGACCGCTTCACTTATTTGGGAAGTACCATCAGCCGGTGCCAAACGGGTTGATCCCTGACGAAGTCTCAGTAGGGATGCAGAGGGCTAGTTTCGCGTATGACAGTTTACGCCGTCTCTGGATAAGTAGACGTGATATCCGGCTGGCTACCGACCAAAGGGCAGGTGTACTGCTCATCAGTCCGCTTCATCTCCTTTATGGCTATGAGACCTGGCCAGCGACAGTGGAAGACATGAAGGAGAAGGCTAGCTGTCTTTGATCATAGGTACCTGCGTTCTATCTCCCATGTGAAGTGGTATAATAAGGTGAGGAATATTGAGGTCAGGCGTCGAGTTCTAGGTAAGGAAGGGAAATCAATCGACTAGGCTGTGAAATTACATCGACTGAGATGGTTAGGACATGTGTTACTCATGCATGTCTAGCCATCGCCTTCTTCGACCGACAGTCGATGTTACCTGATATAGGGTCAGGCTGGAAAAGAGCTAGCGGTGGTCAAACCGAAACATGCCATCAGTCAATGAAATCCTGAACAGTTAGTTTAAGCCAGCCATGTAGGAAGGCGTAGACTGGATACCTGGTTGGGGTCCTCGGGATGGGAAAAGCCAACGAAGGCTGGAGAAAATCGTTGACATGGCCTAAAATCGTTCTCAGTGGCTAGCGCAGATGCATCGAATCCTTGTGACTTATCATTTGCAATGAAACTATTTTGTTCTTCGTTATTACTATTCGTTTGTCTCACACCTCTGTTTACTGTCTCTATTATGCATTTCTTCTACTTCCTTCACTTGCTTTGTGTGCTACAAGGAGTGGAGTGTGGCGACTTGAGCTGTTGCACATCAGTGCAAAGTTCTATGTCAAAAACAGACAGACAGAATACATTCAGCTAAACAAATAAAATCAGCGTTTTGAACGTTTTCAACATCAATACAGTCAATGCTTCTACATGGTTCAGAGATTTGACGTGCATGGTAGACATTCACCAACGGTTGTCTTTACTGACTGTAACAGGGAAGATCAAGATCCCAGGAATGATAAGCAATGAGGAAATCTGTCTGGTGACGAACCAATCAACAAATTATAGCCCAACAATTAAGCAGAAAGGTTAGATATACATTTAGGGAGGAAACCACTGAGTGTCATTACACGCCATGACATCGAATGAAATCCGACTGGGAATCGACGAGTTAGGCATAGGTTCAAGGATATAAAGATAACAACAAACAAAGAAAGATTTTGTTTTTTTGTTTTGTTTTGTTTTTGATTACAGCTTGATTCTACAACGTATTTTTGGTACAAGTATGGAATTTTCAGCGTGGATATCGGTAGCCCAAATTTCGCAGGCCGACCATAGATATCAGGTGTGCGTCGGCGTGGGCTCGAACCCTGGACCATGTGCATGGTCGGCGAGAGTCCTAACCACTGTGCCACCGACGCACAGATCGTGTGACAAGGAGGAGGACAGGACAGGACATGCATTTCAAGGGCTTTGTTCCAATCCAGTACAAAAAGAACTTAGTCAGAACACTGTTCAATAGAACACAGAACTATTGAGCATGGAATAAAATCTCTGAAGGATATCTTATCTAAGAATGGATATCCTGAGAAGTTCATTAAAAAATAATCTAAAGAAATTAGCCCCTGCAAAACAATTCAAACAGTTCCGAAGAAATCTGTCTATATCAGTTGGTCATTCAAAGGAGATGATGTACAGGAATTAGTCAAACGAAGACTCGATAAAGCCATCAAGAGAACTTATTATGCTGCAAAACTTGCTTATCCTTAACACCACCAAGCGAGTGCTTCAACAATCTGGGAAAGATCAGTCGCCAATCCTCGACACTTCAAACTGAGTATATCAATTAGAGTGTATTTGTGGAAGCAAATACATAGGTCGTACGTACAGAAAGGCGATTGTCTACTCGCATGATGAAGTATTTGCCAAAATTTTGGTTGAAAACTGCTGAGTGCAAAGTGCCAAAATCTCCCATAACAAAACATCTTGTGGACTATGGACATGATATCGACGCGGTCAAGTCATTCACTGTTATTGTCAGCAGACAAAGAAACAAGAAGATGCTTGCAATTGCCGAGGAGGCTTGTGCAATTCGAGTTTATAAACCAGGTCTGTGTGTACAAAAGGAGATGGTCGTGACTCTGGATCTACCATGGTAATACGTTCTACTTATTATTCTACCTCATTGTTATTATTATTACTCTTGATTCATTTAAAACTATCCTTTATCAGTAGGATTATGTTAACTCACTTCAACATTATTATTATAACTATTACTATTGATATTACTCTGCATTTCTTGTTATATTCTCCAATGACTAATTGTTTGTCTAAGTTATGTAATTGAAGCGTAATGCAATTTATCTTAATTTTGATCTCTCATACCCCTCTCTCTCCCCTTATCTATTTGAACGTGATCTGGAAAACATTCGCACCAGTCTTTCTGCATGACTAATTCAATGTAGTTTGTTTACTTATCAGTCTTGTATCTCCCAATGTAATTTCAGAAGCATGTATATATCCGTGTATGTAGAGTAAACAGCTGAAGAGGAGTTCTACCGAAATTTGATGAATTCATTAAATGTTGCTTTATTAACAACCTTTGTTGCTTGTTTTAAATTCGTATGAGGAAATAAAAAAGCTTGTGGGCAATTATGAAGTCTGGTAAATATGATGCGGGACAACAAACTTGACTTGATATGACTATCAGCGGTAATAATTTGTGCTCGTTACTTGGTCATCAGTTAATATTACTGTACAACACTGTGCAATTTTCAATTATTGGTTTTGTAGGGATTTTGTTTGATTGGTTGGAGGATTTCGTCATGAGCTGACACATCAGTTATAGAACCATTAGAAAACTTGTAGGGAGTACTGGACAGCTGTTTTGTCCTAGTGCCTGGGACTCCTCATCAGTGCGCACCCATCGACCAGGAGTCGAACCCTGGATGTTCTGGTTACAAGGTCGGCGAGTTCGTAGACCATACAGCCACTAAGACCCAATCCAGTGACCAGTGCATGAATTCTAACTTCTGCCAATTCATGACATAACGCGACTATTTCACAATGTATTCTTCGATGAGTTACTGCCTAATTTTCAGCCTGCTATACTCAACCATCACAGTGCCCAAGTTTTATACTTATGTCAAGAAAACTGTTAGTCTGTCTGTCTGTTTTTGACATAGAACTTTGCACTGATGTGTACCAGTTCAAGTCGCCACACTCCACTCCTTGTAGCACACAAAGCAAGTGAAGAAAGTAGAAGAAATGCATAATAGAGACAGTAAACAGAGGTGTGAGACAAAGGAATAGTAATAACAAAGAACAATATAGTTTCATTGGAAATGATAAGTCACAAGGAGTGGATGCATCTGCGCTAGCCATTGAGAACGATTTTGAGCCATATCACCAATTGTCTCCAGCCACCATTGGTGTTTGCCATTCCGAGGACCCTAACCAATCAGGAAGTCTACACCTTCCTACATGGCTGGCTGGCTGACTTAAACTAACTGTTGTGCATTTCACTGACTGATGAAGTCGTGTTTTCACTTAACCACAACTAGCTCTTTTCCAGCCAGAGCTGCCCTATATCAATTAACATTGTCCATCGAAGAAGGTGATGACTAGGCATACGTAACACGTGTCCTAACCATTTCAGTCGATGTAATTTCACAGCCTCTTTGATTGATTTCTCCTCCCTACCTAGCACTCGACCGATGCGTAGCCTCAATATTGCTCACCTTATTATACCACTTCATATGGGACATAGAACGCAGGCACCTATGATCAAATACAGACAGCCATCTAGCCTTCTCTTTCATGTCTTCCACTCTCAATGGCCAGGTCTCACAGCCATATCAAGAATGTCAAGCCATAGGAGATATGTTACTCAAGCCCTATATATTCTACTCAAAAGGCAAATCACCAATAACCTACTCATTTAATTTCATTATCAATTATTACAATTTTATAAGACTGTCTCATATGTTAGCATATTTTTGTCTTTTTTTTATATTTTCAAGCTATTCATTGTATTTTCAGGTGTGAGTATGGGTGTGTAAGAGAGTGTTAATACTTTCAATTAATGTATGATAAGATATACTGATGACGTGAACATTAATACTCCAAAAAAAACAGAAAAATTCACTCAATATCATTAAAACATGTGCCAAAAATGAAACTAACTCACATGTATTCTGTAAATTATGAATCAAACAGACATAGCTTAGTGAATAAATAGCATTGCTTCCGACTGTCTAATACCATCAAGCATTGCAAGCAATTCAATAAAAATTTAAAATATACACACATATACATATACACGAAAAAAATCGATATTATTCGAGTTAATGTATGTATGTATGCAATAATTAAGTAATACCTAAAATTTATTTATTGAAGCATACACAACACAATGATCTAATAATATTCTCAACAATTCATTCATAAAGTCAAAATGATAGAAAAGAGACATCATTCAATTTGAAATTTAGCGCCATAACACTTTTCGCCTAATTTAAACAAAATAAAATGACAATTAAACTACCTGCAATTGAACACAACGAATTTAAAATGAATATAGACGAAAGGAAATGTAATAATATCATTTATAAAAATAATAATAATAATAACAATAACAATACAAATGGAAATAATATACAAATGAAATCATTGAATGAGGCGTGTTTAAAATTACCAAAAATATTTAGAAAACGTTGGTCACCAACATCACCAATGAGTACAATAATAAAAATTTTAAATCAATCCAATCAAAATCAAGGAAATTATCAATTAGATAAACAATTACCTGTGCATTTAACCTTGAAACATCAAACAAATTTAACAAAATTTAAGCAGGATACATTTCATAATCCAATTTTATTACCAATAAATTATAATAAAAAAATTCATAAGAAGAGGAATAATGAAAAAAGGAACTATAGAAAAGATTGATTAAAACAGAGAAAAAAAAACACGTTTTGTGTTTCACAATCCCCTGAACACAAATGTATTTTTGGGGAAATGGGGGAATACATATATAACAAGAATTGTATATTCTGTATGCAATATTCATGGGAATAAAGCTAGAAAACCCCCTGATAAATAAACATAATAAATAAATAAAAAATAGATATATATATATTTTCAAGTATTGGTTTTGTAGGGATTTTGTTTGATCGGTTGGAGGATTTTATCATGAGCTGACATCAGTTAGAGAACCAGTGGAAAACCTGGGAGTACTGGACAGCTGTTTCGACCTAGTTTGGGGCTCTTCATCAGTACGCACCCCTATATATATAGGCATGCTTTGAATGGTGTCTTGTTGTAGCTAAAGATTGTCCACTGTTCACTGTAGGAGTCTTTTCAAGGAATTCAGTGATTTCAGGTTAGTCACCTTCATGGCTAATAATATACTGACTGGATAATTATACATTCAGACATCTATAAAACACACAATATAATTGAGCCAGCTAAGAATATCCTTTTCGATAATTTCCTTCTCTACTGGCTCTACAATTATATATGCATGTTTATATATACATAGAATATTCTAGATTAGTAGTCAATATCAATATTAGTGTGCTTTTTAAATAATATTGATTTGTAAAATAAGATCAAAATGGAATTACCGCAGTTCATTTAAGATGCATAAATTATAATAAGCATAAAAATGTGATAGCAAATAGAATATCAACTGAAATTCTGTCTACCTCTCTGTTTTCGACAAACAACTTTGCACTGATGTGCAACAGCTCAAGTCGCCAAACTTCACTCCATGTAGCACACAAAGCAAGAGAAGGAAGAAGAAGAAATGCATGATAAAGACAGTAAATAGAGATGTGAGACAAAGGAGAATAGTAATAACGAAGAATAAAATAGTTTCATTGTAAATCATAAGTCACAAGGAGTCGATGCATCTGCGCTAGCCACTGAGAACGATTTTAGGCCATGTCAACGATTTTCTCCAGCCTTCGTTGGCTTTTCCCGTCCTGACGATCCCAACCAGGAATCCAGTCTACACCTTCCTACATGGCTGGTTGGCTGACTTAAACTAACTGTTGTGGATTTCATTGACTGGTGGCACGTTTTAGTTTGATCGCCGCTAGCTCTTTTCCAGCCTGACCCTATGTCAGCTGACATTTCTCCTCGGTCGTGGATGGCGACGACTAGGGATACGTAACACATGTTCTAACCATCTGAGTTGAAGTAATTTCACAGCCTCGTCGACTGATTTCCCCTCACTCGTTACCTAGCACTCTAACGACGCCTAACCTCAATATTCCTCACCGTATTATACCACTCTACACGGGAGATAGAACGCAGTCACCTATGATCAAAAACAGCTAGCCTTCTCTTTCATGTCTTCCACTGTCGCTGGCCAGGTCTCACAGCCATAAAGGAGAAAAATTCCAAAAAAATGAGGATCATTCAAGCCTAGATAGCCAAGGTAAGGATAATGTCTGAATTAACTTCTTTTGAATGCATAAATTAGGCTTCTTCATATGGAACCCAACAGCCAGCCTCAGCAATATTTAGTGGTCGAACTCCTAAGGTGGAATTAGGATTTGTTGGTGTGCTGTAAATGACTCTGAAAGCCTGGTTAACATCATTCCTGTGTTCTGTATCCACAAGATGAGATACAATAGCGCTATGTGAATAGATTTTGTTTGTCCTTTACTTAACCACTATGCAGGGTGATGTTCGAAAATTCGACGAGAAACACGCCTAATTGTACGGCCTATGCTAGTAACTGGTTCACTCCACAGGAACAGTTAAATTGGTATATGCACATGGAAGAGGTGAAATTAGGCAGTTTGTCTTTTACTCCCTGACGAAAAAGAGGAGCCGTTTTAAAGACACAGTGTAATTCAGCAGCAGCAGCAGAGAATGCTCTTTTTACCCCATTTATAAGGCGTCGTGTCAGTATCTCGCTGATGTCGTCTTCAATGAACTGCATTTGTAAGAATAAGGCCATTTTAGGAACTATTGGTACCTTGGGCTGTTTGGATTTTAGATTCATATTTTTATCAATAAACTTTTCTGGATAACCGTTTTCACTCAGCAACCGTTTAATATTATTAAGTTCCTCATCAAGACATTCATCCGAGCAGTTTACTGTTGCTCTGTGAACCAAGTACTTTATCAGATTGCATTTGTGTTTCAAGGGCCTGAAGCTGAAAACATGAGTATACTGACAGTCAGTTGATGTAGGTTTTCCATATACACTTCTTCTTGCGCCATCCTTTTTTTCTAGCCATAAGGACGTCTAGAAATGAAATACTCGAGTCTTTTTCTTTCTCAATAGTAAAATTAATTGTAGGATGAACCTCATTAACTTTATCCAGTGTGTTTTTTGCTTCCTTCTTGTATTTCATAATCAAAAATGTATCGTCCATGTACACCGACAAAAGAATTCAAGTTCAAAAATAACATTTTTCAAAGTCCCATTTTTAGTTTTGCAAGGAAAATGTCGGCTAGAATGGGTCCTAATGGTGACCCCATTGCCACACCGTCGATTTGTTTATATAGTTCCTTACTAAATAGAAAGTGAACAGTCAGTGTGCATTTCAAGAGAAGGTCTTTCATAAAAGTTATAGAAATGCCAACATCGATGTTTCGTCTTATGAGTTCTTCGCATACAAACTCCACTGTTTCCATAAGTGGTGACACAGTGGTTAGGACTCTTGCCGACCACGCACATGGTCCGGGGTTCGAATCCCTGCCGCTGCACACCTGATATCAAGGGTCGGCATGCAAAATTCGGGCTACCGATAGATATCACATGCTGAAAATTCCATACCTGTACCAAAAAATACGGTGTGGAATCAAGCTGTAATCAAAAATCAAAATAAAATACATTGGTGAATAAGGAAGATACGTCAAATGATATCATGAATTTATTGTCAACGCTTAAATCTTTTATCCTTTCAACAAATACAAAAGTATCCTTTACAACACTGTGTTTCTCCAACTCGGTATGAAGAGGCTGTAAGAGTTCAACTAACCATTTGGCTATGGGATGGGATGGTGAATTTAACACATCTAATACTGGTCGAAGCGGTACACCATTTTTGTGCACTTTAGGCGAGCCATATATAATCTTGGTGTGAACGTTCCAGTGGGATTAAGTGATGTACACTGACTCTGTGAGATGAAGCCTTGTTGTTTCAGTCCTTCCAATGTATCCGCCAACTGTTTCTCTATCTTTTCAATCGGATCCAGAGAAGAGGAGATTTTTTAAAATTTTAGATTAGCATTAAGAATAGTATTCATCTTCTCAAAGTAATCCACTTTGTTCATGATAACCACTCCTGAGCCGTTATCTGGTCTTGTTATAATTATGTTATCATTTTTGCGAAGAACATCCAGGCTTCTCTATGTTTTTTTGGTCAAAACACTATCCGAATTGCGTTTACAATTCAAGTAATATTAGCAACAATCGAACAGTGTTGATTTAAGTCTTTCGACGTCTTCACTTGATGAGGGTGTTAAGCCTACGATTTAAGTGTAGAGACTTTCGAATTGAATTACTGAGAAGTGAATAATTTTGAGCTGAGAACCTGAGTTTACTGTCTATTGACAATCATAGTTTAGACTTGTCTGCAAAATCATAAGTACTGATATTCCCTCTAGGCGTAGAGTGTTAGCTAAGGTTGTGAAGTTACGTCGACTTGGATGACTAGGATTTGTGTTACGCATGTCAGGTCACCACCTTCTTGACAGAACAATGTTAGCTGAAATAGAATTACTTTGGAAAAGAGTTCTGTCTGTCTGGATTCAACATAGAACTTGGCACCGTAGTGCAGCAGTTCGAGTTGCCACGTTCCAAATAGCACACAAAAGTATACAAGAACATGAGTGGAGAGAATTAATATGGTTTCACTAGTATAAGAGTGAAACAGAATGGGTAATGGTAGAAAGGAATATGAAAGATTACAGAGACTGAATACATCTGCGCTGGCCATTGACAACGATTTTGAGCCATGTCACCTATTGTCTCCAGCCATTGATTCCTAGAGTCCCGAGGCCCCCAACCCGGGAGTCTGCATCTCCCTACCTGACTCAGTTTAACTGTCAAGGATTTCATGGATTGATGAGGCCATGTTTTTGTTTGGCCACCACTGGCTCTTTTCCAACCTGAACCTATATCAGCTAGCAATGCCCGTCGGTGGGGGGAGGCGGTGGTTAGGCATGCGCAGCAAGTGACCTAGCCATCTTAGTCTATGTAACTTTATAGCCTCGTCGATTGATATTCCCTCTTTGCCCAACACTCTACGCCTAACGTCAACATTACTTACCTTGTGAAACCACCTAACGTGAGACAGAGATCGCAGACATCTTTGATCGAAAGCAGTCAACCTTTTCATGTCTTCAACGCGTATTGGCCATGTTTCAGAGCCATAGAGAAGGACGGAGCGAACTGATGAGCAGTACACACGTCCCTTGGTTGATAACCGGATGTCACGCCTACGCCAGAGATGGTGTAAGTCAGCGAAAGCAGCTCGAGCTTTTCGGATCCGTGCTGAGATTTCGTTGCCAATCAGTCCGTTGGTGCTAATACAACTTCCCAAATAAGTGAAGTGGTCAACATGTTCTATCACTTCACTCCCTATCACTAAGCTAGGAGTTGACGTAGTCCAGTCCTGTAGCAGCATCTTACATTTTACAGGGGCGAATCACATGCCAAACATTCGTAGATTGCAGCTCAAGGTGTTCAGGAGACTCTGCATTTTGTCAGCGTGATCGTCTAGAAGGACTAGTCTTCAGTGAACATTACTGTGTAACAACACTGAGAGACTCTATCAAAATAAATTTTATCCGAAATAGAGTGTCCCTAGTTGTCTACATCAGTCGATATTGAAGAATACTTCTAGTGTCTTGTCTTATGTTCTTCGATTCGGAGGTAAAAACTCAAATAAATCTTACATCCTATCAGGATGTCAGTCATAAAC